ATCAATGTTGACATCGTTCTCACCTCCTCTATTTGCTAACAACTGGCTTAAATTTTCCTCCATCTCCCGTTGAGGCTTCCACTTGTGGTTCGTGTTTCATCCTTCTAACATATGCTTTCCGTTTAGAGCCCAAGAAATTATATATATATATATATATCATCGATTATTTGGACAGTTTTTTTTTTCTCGTTTTGATGAGCTATGAGTATGAAAATAAAAATAAGTTGATAAATCTATAATTATTTTTTTTTATCGAATTTAAAATATATTGAATCAAATATAACAGATTAAATTAATTAAATTTATTTATCTTATAAAAAATTATTCAAATATCTAATAAATGTGTAATATTTTTAACTATGGTCCATAGTTAATTTTTTAAAATAAAGTAATGGTTGATTGTTAAAATCTACCAAACCAATTAATAAAGTATATTTTTTAAAATTATATTTTAAAAAAGAGGGGAAAAAAGGGTTTTTAAATAATAATAGTAAAAAATGAACTTTTTCATATACAGTTACGTGCGCGCGCGTGAGCAAATTCAACGGCGTACGTTAGAGTCTCATTGACCAACGACTCTTAATTTCGGTGCACTTTAGCGTCCTCCACTTATATTCTTGTCGTCTTTTTTAACTCCCTCCACAATCAGAACCGCCATTTCTGTATCATTAGCTCTACTCTGTAAACGCAAGCAATGACGAGCTCGAGTCCATTGCACGGGCGGCGTGATACCAGCTCCAGAGGTGAGCGGCGGAATTCCAGCCCCGGTAATGAGCGGCGGAACTCCAGCTCCTGTGGTAGTCATACGCCGGTTTACTTTCCCTACTCGCCCAGTCCGGATGTATCCATCGGTATGGAATCCCGCTCCCGACTTGATCCGGTGAAAGCTGCTGCTCGGTCCGTTGCTGGAGCTTTTCTTACTTGCTTTGCTCCGCCGGAGAAGGAAACCTGGCCGGGTTTGGGTTATTGTGGCGAATCTCGTCATTCTTCAGGTAATACTTGATTTTAAGCGAGGCGAATGATTAGGTTTTGTGAGTGTGTCATTTTTTGACTGGATGATACTGTGTTAACTTCTGGATTCTCTTTTGAGTAACTGGTGATGAAGATTAATGAATAGGTTTTTGCTCTCTTCTCGTTGCGTTTCGGATCGTGGACGATCGTCTGAAAATTTGGTGAAGATTTCATCGAATTGTTTGTTTTCTGCATTATCTCCCTGTTCTTGCAAATTGCAAAAACTTATTCTCCAAGACTCGTTTATTTGTTTCTAGTTGAATATTATAGCGGATTTCATAATCTTGCTAAACATTGATATCTTGAAACTTTGGAGCTCTTAATTCAATTGAACAGTAAATTACTCAGTCCAATTCTGATTTTAGGATGAAATTGTGTGTTTATTCTCTGTAATTTTAGATGCTTCCATTCCTAATGGCAAAAGAAATCGAGGATCTAGGCGAGAAACGCACTTCAGTTCAAATCTAGCTGCCCCTGATAGAGAGCCTGGATCTTTGAGTATCAGCATAGAAAAAATCCGCAAGGCCACGAAGAACTTCTCCACATCTTTAAAAATTGGGCAAGGGGGTTTTGGGGCTGTCTACAAGGGGAAACTTGATGGAGTGCCTGTGGCCATAAAACGTGCCAAGAAGGTTAAATTTGATTCTTAAGCATTTTATGAGTTAATGCTTTCAGACACAATAATCTACTCTTTGTTGTTAACTTGGATTCCATTTTGTTTTCATAATCTCTTCCTCTGCAGAGTATATATGATATTAGTTCGGGTTTGGAGTTTATAAGCGAGATTCAAACGCTTGCACAAGTAGAACATTTAAGTCTGGTTAAGTTCTATGGATATCTAGAACATGACGATGAACGAATCGTCATCGTCGAGTATGTGCCCAATGGGACTTTAAGAGAGCACTTAGAGTGTGAGTTACATTTTCTTTTTCAGCTTTATCCTCTCTTTGAACTAGACTGTTTAGTCTTATCTAAATCAGGAAACTTGATGGCAGGCATTCATGGCACTACTCTTGACCTTGCTACAAGGCTCGACATTGCAACCGACGTGGCTCATGCAATAACATATCTTCATATGTATACAGGTATGGATTTGATTCGATGTTCTACTCATCTTAACTTCGTAGAACGCTTATAGTGAATTTGTAATGACTTTTGGAGGATAGAAAGTGTGTATATAGTGTGTGAGATCCCACATCAGTTGGGGAGAAGAATGAAACATCGTTTATAAGGGTGTGGAAATCTCTCCCTAGTATATGCGTTTTAAAAACCTTGAGGGAAAGCTCAAATAGGACGATATCTGCTAGCGGTGGGTTGAAGAGAAACACTCAAAAGTGATTCTTCCAAAAGAAAAAATGTTTATTGGAGAAGTATTTCCAATCGTCATATGATTTTTCTAGATCATACATCTCCTAGTTCTTTGTTAGCCTGATTACGTTCTGCTTTGTGTAGACCGTCCTATCATTCATAGAGACATAAAGTCTTCCAACATTCTTTTGACTGAGAATTATAGAGCCAAGGTTGCAGACTTTGGCTTTGCAAGACTTGCAGCTGATGGTGATGCGACCCATGTGTCCACTCAAGTCAAAGGAACTGCTGGTTACTTGGACCCAGAATATCTCAAAACTTACCAATTGACCGAAAAGAGTGATACCTATTCGTTTGGTGTTCTGTTGGTTGAATTAGTCACAGGCAGGCGCCCCATAGAACCCAAGCGAGTACTCGACCAGCGGATCACTCCAAAATGGGTGAGACTTTTTCTCTCGTCATTTCACTATTAGTATAAGATCATATGGTTAAGAATCATGAAGCTCGACACATGTATAACATTGTCCACTTTGAGCATAAACTCTCATAGCTTTGCTTTTGGTTTTCCAAAATGTCTCATACCAATGGAAATGTATTATAATCCTCAACCATCCTCCCCTCGAACAAAATACACTATAAAAACCTCCTTTGAGGCCTATGGAGCTCTCAAACAACCTCCCTTTAATCAAGGTCAACTCCTTCTCTGGAGCTTTCGAACAAAGTACACCATTTGTTTGACACTTGAGTCACTTTTAACTACATCTTCAAGACTCACAACTTTTTTGTTCGACACTTGAGGATTCTATTATCATGACTCAGTTAGAGCATAGCTCTGATGCCATGTTAAGAATCACAAACTTCCTTTATGATATGATATTATCCACTTTGAGCATAAGCTCTCGTGACTATTCTTTTGGTTTCCAAAAGGTCTTGTACCAATGGAAATGTATTCTAATCCTCAACACATATATCATAAAGGTTAAGGATGTGAAAATCTCTAGTGGTACATATTTTGTAGTTAGAATCTCAAAGTAAGTTCACGTAGACATGAATTCAATTAGGACAAGATCATACCATCGTAAAAACATGGACTAACACGTTACTCACCGCTCCGGGTTGAAACCAATGCAGGCCATGAAGAAGTTTCACGAAGGAAAGGCCAATGAAATCTTGGACCCAAATCTAGAGCAAACAGCTGCAAATCATTTGGCAGTGGAAAAAATTCTGGAGTTGACTTTACAATGCTTGGCTCCCCGGCGGCAGAATCGGCCGAGCATGAGGCGGTGTGCGGAGATACTGTGGAGCATACGCAAGGATCACCGAGATCTCTCAGCTCCAGATTTCCGTTCATTCTCTACAAGTTCACGACGGAGTGCATCGGTAAGCGATAAATGAAACTCAAATCCAAGTAGAAAATAAGCTTTGAGTAGAAGAACAAGAACTTGAATTCTTGATACAAAAGCATGATGAATTGGAGTTCTTGATCTTCATTATAAGAGCCTAGCAGTTTCTCAGATCATATGTTCTTCCTCTTTCATTGATGAAATTATACTTGTTTGTGTGCGAGCTGCATTGTTTAGGTTTACTCTCTTTTGCTTGTAAAATTTTTGTATTTAGTTATCTTCGTAATGTCGGCGTGGTTTCTGTTCTAATGACATAAGCTAACGTGATAGATGATAAATCAAAAAAGTATCCATACTTCGCGTAAATTTTTTGAAATTGGTATTCTATGTAATGTATATACTTGATCTAATGGGCATGTTACAATCATGTTTCCTACTTTAAAGAATTATATTAATGATATAAACTATAGAATATAATTAATATAATGTCTATCTAACCCATTTATTGATTTATTCAATTATCTTTGGTATAGTTTACTAACTCACTCATTGGATTTTGACATTTTTAGTCCCAAATTATTTCTCTAAATATTTTCAACCCAAATAATATTAAAGAATAAATTCAATCCAATAACAAGATTTATTCAAATTTTTTATTTTTAAACCAAGTAAAATATTAGTTTTTAAAATATCTATTTATTTATTTTCAAACATTTAATTAAATTTCCCATTCAATTTAAATATATATATATATATAATTGTATCGTGCTAATTTTAATTTATTTAAATTAAATCCAACCTGAACAACTTGAGTTGGATTAATCGGACTTTTGACTCATTTTTCTTAATACCCGTATTTAATAATTAAAAATAATATAAAGTTTAATAACTATTTTCTTGAACAAACGGTATTTTTTTGGATTATTTTGAGGGTCGAATAAAATAATGTTAATAATTATTTTAAATAAATAATTTTCATTTTTCAATATAGAACTCCCATGAAACCGTAAAGTCATTTCACTGATTTATGTCTAAATTAGAATGACAAAATTTGATAACATAATTTTAAAATCTAGAAAAAATATGAAATAATTATAATAACTTTTATTATATTTAAAAATATGTATTTAATAATTTTAAATTAATTTAATATTTGAATTTATCGCCTCCCTTTCCTTCTTTGTTTTCCTAGCGCAACATAAATATAATAATATTCAAACCGATGAAACCGAACTCTTCCGGTTCGGTTCGGTTCGGTTAGAATTGGGTTTTGCTTAATAGTTCGGTTCGGAAGCTCATTTTTTATTCTTCCCTTCGCGCCATTCTGCTGGCTTTGGCTTTTCCAGTTCTCCCTTAACACCCAACGCATCCTTCCTCTCTCATTTGCTCCAGTTTTCTCCTCTCCTCTTCCACATGTAAGTATTTCTTCAATTTTGATCTGGAATATTTCTTTTTCATTTCTGAGTTTGTTTTCCTGAATTCATTGTTCTTTCTCTTTTGTTGTTGCGATGGTTTTTCTTTTAATTTTTGACCCGAGAAGCTTGGGATTTGGGATTTAGGGTTCTATACGAGAATCTAAAGCCGTATTGAGCATATTATGAGGGTTTGAAGAAGCGGAATTAGCAATATGTCAAATGTGTTCATCAGTGTTTTTCTTTCTGTGTTTTATCTCAATCAAATTTCAGAGGTTCTGTTGCGCGCTAGCTAAAAGTAAATATGCCATTTCATATTGTTCCTTTAAGTTTGTCCCAAGTCTTACGTATTTTAACCAGTTTTTGTTCAGAATGTTCAAGGAGATTGCTTATTTTCTTATTTCTCTGTTGAGTATTTGATATTATATTTTGTTTGACACTGCCGAGTATCAGAGGAAGTTAATTTAATGACATGAATAGGATGGTGATGAGTGTGATCTTAGTTTTCCCTCCGGGCTGTTACTATCGGTATCAGATCCAGACACTGGGCAGTGTGCCAGCGAGAATGTTGAGCTCCAAAGGGGTAGACACCAGACGGTGTACCAAGGATGCTGGGCCCCGAAGGGCTGGATTGTGAGACCCCTCGTTAGTTGGAGAGAGGAACAAAATAATCTTTATAAGGGTGTGGAAGCTTTTCCTTAGCAGACGTGTTTTAAAAACCTTGAGAAGAAGCTAGATTACAGACTTATAAATCCATCATTATTAACTCCTACCTATGACTTATCTTCCTCAAGCCTGATTTTCAACTAAAATTATAGTTGGTTAAGAAATCCCCAGACAAAGGGTTTAGAACGAATTTGTTTTCTGAATTCAGGATAGATAGGTTCTAATCTCAATTAGATTCTGCAGCTATCTGAGCCAATAAACTGTGCTTATTTGAACATTTTTATATGTGAGGTGAGGTCAGAGAGCATTATTTTTTATTAGGTGGGCTCTTTATCCTTATCTTGTTGCCTTCACCATTGAGAGACCTTGGACCTCGCTACTCTGTAGTTGCCTTAAACGTAACGGCCATTGCATAGCTTTAGACACAAAAATTGGGGAACAAGACCTTGCAAAATTCCCAATGATCGCTTTAAGTTTTTCATCCCAAGACATTAAGTTTGACTTCTCATTGCGTTTGAAATTATGAATGTGTAAATTCCATACAAGCATGAAGAACAGACCAAGGCCCACGTAGAGAGTTAATTTAATGCTTCAATTTATATTCCGTTCTCTTTTGATTTTAAAACAATCGAGGTTCTATATCTTGAAGTTAAATGAACTTTTGAGATGTCTTTCCGAAGAAGAGATAACATTTGTTAGGAATCACGGATCTCCACAATAGATGATATTGTCCACTTTGAGCATAAGCTCTCATGACTTTGCTTTGGGCTTCTCTAAAAGGCCTCATACCAATAGAGGTGTATTCCTTACTTATAAATCCATGATTATTCCCTAAACTAGCCAACGTGGGACTCTCTCCCAACAATACTAAATAACATTTACTAATGGATGAAAGTTATCTTCTATAAATATGAATATTTCAAGTCTAGCAAGTTTTATTCTATATTTTTTTATTTCGTTTTGTTTTCTGAGATTCTAGTTGTGGTGCAGGTGCATTCATGATATGAAAAAACATTTTGATGAGAGTGTTCTATCAAAATTGCCTAATAGTTAATCAAGAAATTTTGAGGCAATCTATAACAAGTGAAGAGGAGACATGGGTACTCACAAACACCTCCAAAATAAATTCTTTGATTTTTCCACAGAGCTTTTTTTTCTTCTTCTTCTTTTTTTTTTAAATTTTAATTTTAATGTTCACATTCATGTTATATCCCAATTTGAATCTGCAGACGGTAATGCATGTGGACATGGTCCAATTCCTTTGGTAATATTGATCTATTGGATCCTGGCTCGTTACAGAGCATTGATGATCTTCTTTGACCAAATAGTTCATTTGTAACATATTTTAGAAACCTAAGGTTCCAAAAGACTTGAGCTTCAGTATTCCCATCATTGAAGCTTTTCTAAGATTTCCATAGGTGGTCAGAATTGTAACTTTTAAGTCAATATGAAGGATAGTTCAGATCAATTCCCATGTTGGATATATATTCTTTCACTCATGCTTCTTAGTAATATGACTTGTCAGATGATGTGGATTTTGTCCTTTATAAACTGTCAGAGGAAAATTTTCACTGAATTTAGCTCATATCTGCATTGTATTCTTTTGGATGTTATTAGCACATATGAAACCTTATTGTTATGGAGTCGGTAAATTATTTGTTATTTGAATCTTAATGATTTTGGTTTTGTCTGATTCATTTCCAGAACCTCCACTAGACACATTTGTAGTCTAGTAAGGAATATCTTGAACACGTACACAGCTTGAAAATGTGGAAGTGAGGCATGTAACTGCTCAAGCCCACTGTTAGTAGATATTGTCCATGTCCGCTTTGACCCGTTACATATTGCCGTCAACCTCACAGTTTTAAAATGCATATGTTAGGAGAGGTTTCCACACCTTTATAAGGAATAAGGAAGGCTTCATTCCCCTCTCTAACTGATGTGAGATCTCACAATCGCATCCTTGTTGGCACACCGCCCGATGTCTGGCTCTGATACCATTTATAACAGATCAAACCCAGTGCAGATATTGTCCGCTTTGGCCCATTATGTATCACAGTCAGCTTCACGGTTTTCAAACGCATTTGTTAGGGAGAGGTTTCCACACCCTTATCAGGAATGTTTCGTTCCCCTCTCCAACCGATGTGGGACCTGACAGGGCATCTAGTTAATGTAACTTTCTTTCTTTTTTATCATTTGACTCTCTTTATAATTTCCGTTTTTTTCTTTCTTTCTTTCTTTTTTTTTTTTTTTTTTTTTTTTTTTTTTTTTTTTTNAAAATATACCCAATGAGTTATCAAATTCTACAGAGAGGAGCCTTTTGAGATGGAGGCCAATGTATTACACATTATTCGCTACAAGCCCATAAAATCACTTGTAGAGAGAGGGAGTGTCATCGATTTGCTGTAGACAATCTCGACGGTCCTTGGCAGCTATCAACATCGGTACCCCTCGTCATCTTTATTATCTTGCGTCTTGTCTTGGCTAATCTGTATGTGATAGAAGGCATTGTTCAAATTAGTTTTTAGCTTCAAGGCATTACTGTTGATGACTGTTCCATTAAGCAAATAATGTTAGAAGTAGTTGCAAGGTTTGAATCCACCCTAGATGGCTTTTTCTAGGTAACCAAATATGATGTTTCATTTCTAAACTAGTTATATCATCTGCCTTGAACTTTTGGCATATTTTTATTTGATAACAGGTATTTCCAAAAGTTTTTATTTTTTATTTTTTTTGTTTACTTTTGGCATATTTTTATTTGATAACAGGTATTTCCAAAAGTTTTTATTTTTTATTTTTTTTGTTTATTTTGTCCCGTTATGTATAGCCATCAGCCACACGGTTTTTAAAACGTGTCTACTATGGAGAGGGTTAGTCCTACTCCAACTAGTGTCTCGCACTGTCTCGTGACTAACTATGATACCATTTGTAATGGTCCAAGCCCACTACTAGCAAATATTGTCTTCTTTGAGTTTTTTCTTCCGACTTCCTCTCAAAGTTTTAAAATGTGTTTGCTAGTGTCTGGTGAGAAGTTTTCATACAGTTATAAGAAATGTTTCGTTCTACTCTCCAAAACACATGGAGATTTAAACTTTTGAGTTAAATACTTCCCCATATCAGTTCGATATTATTGTTTGGAAGATTTTATAAGAGTTAAATAAATAAAACTAAAAGCTTGTTTAGTCACCCTTTATTATTATTCCCTCCTAATTTTATTGTAATTTCATTTTAAAGGTGATGGAGACTATTCCACTGATTACTTTGGAGGACAATTTCAAATTGGTTGAGCTCATAGATGAATGGTGGAGCATTGAAGGCACTGGCAAAGACAGGTCAGCCATTTCAATCTGATATCTCATGTTATTAAATTATGAATGTGACATTATAGTGTAGATTGTCAATGACAATTGACAAATCCAACCGTAGCCATTAGTTTATACATCAATTAGAAGTATCGTATGCTTTAGATTTATTTTAAGTTTGAAATTGATATAAATACTAAATTAATAAAAATACTTTTAAAGTTTGTATCGTGTCTAAAAAATAACCTTAAACTATCAAAAGTTTCAAAAATATTCTTACCGTTAATTTTGGATGGAAAATGTTAATATTTTGTTTAAAAGATACCTTCAAACCTTTGGAAAGGTTTCATAAAATATTTTTTTAACTTTAATAGTGTTTCAAAAATACCTTCTCAAATGCGTCATTAATAACTAACTTTTTTTAAAAAATTTAAAAATACCTTTTGATTGATTTAAAATTTCAAGTTAAAAAGTTCAAAAATACTATTTTCATTAGTACCATATTAAAAAATACTTATGAATTTTCAAAGTTAACATTATAAGGTTCGACGGTTTCTATCCATATATAAAACGTAAGAATTTTTTTGAATTTTTTTGAATTTTTTTATATAGTGTAAGAGTGTTAATATTTATTAAACAAATTACTAGCGGTAAGTATATTTTTGAAGTTTTTTAAAATATGGAAAGATATTAATGAAATATTTAAAAATTAAAAAGATATTTTGAAAGTTTTAAGTGGTATAAATTTTAAGAATATTTTTATTAATTTAATCAAATTAAAAAGATATTTTGAAAGTTTTAAGTGGTATAAATTTTAAGAATATTTTTATTAATTTAATCCGTATCCTTTATTTTTATATAGAAAAAAAAGATACTTTCTCGTTAGTTTTTCGAACAGATCTTTTATGATTCTCTTTAAAAGGAGTGAGATTGGGAATCCTTCATTGTTTAAACAAAGTTAGAAGACATTTTATGATTCTCTTTAAAAGGAGTGAGATTGGGAATCCTTCATTGTTTAAACAAAGTTAGAAGACAATTGATACTTTTTCTTTGTGCTTTTTGAGGCATCCATATCCATTTTGAAGATCAAGAATCTCACCATGATTTACCTTTTTGTGTGTTTTTAGTAGAGAGAGATAAACTGAGTGGGAGAAGCCATGATTTGTCTGTCTTTGTCTTTACCTACTCCAACCTTGTTAGAGAGAGTAATGGATCAACACCTCCATTCATTACCCCACTTGCACTACTTTGACATCAATCTAGTTCTACTTTTGTTTACTTTTGTTCTCTTGTATAAATGATATAAATGATATTGTCTATTTTGACTTGCTACGTATTATTTTTAGTTTTATAGTTTTAAAATGTGTCTATTAATGAGAGGTTTCCACACTTTTATAAGGAATATTTTGTTCTCATTCCCAACTGATGTGGGATCTCACAGTGTACTCCTTGAGAGTCAACGTTCTCGTTGACACATCGTTCAGTGTTGTAACAATTTAAGCCCACCACTAGCAAATATGGTCCGTTTTGACCTATTATATAGCGTTGTCAGCCTCACGGTTTTATAATGTCTTTTAGGAAGATGTTTGCACACACACATAAGGAATACTTCGTTCTCTTCTCCAATCGATGTGAGATCTCTCACACATTAATTCTATTAAGATGATAAACGGATAATATTTAGGTTAAGTTGAAGATTTATTAAATCCAAAATTAAAAAATCACCTTGTGCTTGATAGTATTTTAGTTTTTTTGTTTGAAATTTTGAAAGTATTTTTTAAAACTAGTTTCTAAAATTTGAGGAAATAAAAAAATATAATAAATTAGGTATAAATTTTTTAAATTAATGCTATTTTGGTAGAATTTTGTTGGCCCAATGGTGTGATTATTGATTAAGATTATGCAAGTTGTACTATGAATGACGTGGAAATTCCATAAATTAGTTGCCATCCATTCTTAAATCAATATTTTATTTGTTTTTATCATATAAAATCTATTAACAAAAATAAAAAATAGCAATAATTGGAGCAGAAATTAATTTGAGAAATAATAGAGACAAGATCCACAAACACCGGAGAAATGAAGTGGAAGCTTCATGCCTTCACACCCAATGCCTTGCCCTTCAAAATCCACAAACACCGGAGAAATGAAGTGGAAGCTTCATGCCTTCACACCCAATGCCTTGCCCTTCAAAAGTACCATAAAAGGCAAAATAATGGCTTGCAAATCCAATATACCCTCACTAAATTAGGGTTTACAACCATATTATACCTTTTTTAACTTTAATTTTGTATTTTAAAAAATTGTTTTATAAGAAGAGATCACAACCATATTATACCTTTTTTAACTTTAATTTTGTATTTTAAAAAATTGTTTTATAAGAAGAGATCGTAAAAGACGAAGATTCGAATCTTTCACTTTATTATTAGTTATGTTCGTGTTGGAAAAATTCGATACAATATGAAAATTTAGTACTAATTGAAATGAGAATAGAAGAAGGAAAGAGAGGAGAGAGAAGATGTAACGGTCAAAACCCACGCTAATAGATACTGTCCCTTTTTGCTGGTTACGTATCATCATCAATCTCATAACGGTCAAAACCCACGCTAATAGATACTGTCCCTTTTTGCTGGTTACGTATCATCATCAATCTCACAGTTTTAAAACGGGTCTATCGGAGAAAGGTTTCCATACCCTTATAAGGAATGTTCCGTTCCCCTCTCCAATCGATATGAGATCTCACAATTCACCCATTTTGGGACCAGTGTTCTCGTTGACATACCGTTTGGTATCTGGCTCTAATACAATTTGTAACAATTCAAGCCTACAGCTAACCAATGTGGAATCTCTGAGAAAAAAACTGGGACGGGGAACAAAGATTAGCAAATAAAAATACGAAACTCAGCGTAAATGACATGAACCCCACGAGTTTGCCACTGTTATAAGCAATGAAATTGTTTGAAAGAAAACGTGGAAGAAAGAGCCAAATGGAACCTTATAATATTTTTATATGTGATTTTGTGCAACAAGCTTATCGAATAGCATGCTTCTCATCTTATTCGAATCCTCAAATTTAAATTTTTAGGTCCATTTATTATATAATATATTAATTTAATTTCTCTTATTTGAATCTAGTGAGTTCAATCACAGAGTGACAAAAATAAATAATTAATTAATTAAAAGAAAATAAAAATAAAATTAACATGATTAGTATTAGGATTAGAATTAGAATTAAAAAGAACATAAACTAATTATTTTATTTCAATGATCCAAAAAAATTGGATTAATATTTAAATGGAATTTCATTTTAAATATTGGAAATTCACAATTTTATTTATTTATTTATTTATTTTAATTTTTAGGAAATAAAATCTAATTTATCTACATAACCACTAGCAATCTTCTGGTTAATAAAAAAAAGGCAATCTAGTTATAGTCGCCGAAAAACTCAGAGCAGCCGGGAAAATCCATGAGCGGCGGAATTGACTCCTCCGGCACGATTAGGGTTCTACAGAGAGGACAGCTTCTCTGATCGCGAATCATCCATCGGTCCAAGCATTTCTTGTGAAAAATGTGTTTGCAATTCTTCAGAAACCTAAGCTCCTCATCGTCCTGAAACTCGCAGAGGCAAACGGCGCAACATTCCGACGGAAATCCGGCTCTGGTGGAGACGACAATGTCGGAGAATTTGACGACGGGGACGAATTCGTCGATGAGGAGCGGCGATACGGATCGATCGTGGAAGATGTAGGGAGGAGGATTTTGGGGGCAAACGATGGCGGATTCGAGAAAATCGAAAAGCCCTAGAAATCGGAAGATTGAAATAATGAGGCTTCGAATATAGCCGAGGAAGAAAAGGAGATGGAGGAAGGCGTTCGGGATACAAACGTCGGAGTAGCCTACGGGGTAGCCCATGGCGGTCGGAGAGGTAGGTGTTTCCGTTTCCGTTTCCGTTTCCGATTCCGATCGGCGGCGGTTCATCGATTAAGCAGAGATTTTTGTATTTAACAGAGAGAAGTGGAGATTTGGATTTGGAAGGGAACTGCGACGGGCGGCGGCGGCGGCGGCTGTGGCGGAAGGGAATGCCATACGTTGTTAGGCGTTTGAGGGATTTTATAGCCAGTCGCTTGCAATTACATATTTGGGCAATTTCCCAGAAATAAAGAGGGGGTTTTGTTTTTTCGAATAAATATTATAGGATTTCTTTTTTCTATGTGAAATGACTATTTAACCCTCTTTCAAATAAATAAATAAATAAATAAACTTTTTGTGTTTCTTCCCGGAAATCACTCAGCTAAGCCAATAGTTTCGAATGGATGGATGGAAGTACGAGGATAAAATTGTAACTAAATAGTGTTTTTTGTTCGGTCGGAAATTTTAAGATTTAAACTTGACGGTTTTGAAGAGGTAAATACTTTTAAAATTTTGTTTCTAGGACGCTTTTCTCGTTCCCTCCGTGTCCACAATTTCAATTCTCGTCCTTGTGAAATTCGTATGGATCAAGTTCTTTATTTACGTAAGTAGAGTGAGGCAGGGTAGGGTCGGAGGTGGGAATCGAGACTGAGAATCTAATATTCGTCCTCGACCCAGATTAACTAACGGGGAGAAATCTCTCCTCATTCCCTTCTCCATTCCTCATCTAAATAGAGATTTTTCACCCCATTTGAAGCGGGTTTTTGTTGGCCCCGATCCAACCGGTTAAATGAGTCTTTACAATTATGAAATATTGACTATATGAAAAGAGTTTGATTATTGGTAGACTTAGGGTCACATTATTGTACCCAAAACTAGAGACAATTTTTCATCCTCCAATGTGCCACAAAAAAAATTTCAAAACCATGCTTTTTGCATGGAAAACAATCCATTACTTTTTCAATATATTACTCGACCTTTTATAAATATTTAATAATTATTAGATATTTGTTAGAATGTTGGAAGAACGGTTAATGAAACGCCCTTTTATAAATATTTAATAATTATTAGATATTTGTTAGAATGTTGGAAGAACGGTTAATGAAACGCCTATGTCCAGGATTCGATATCTAATGGTCCCGACATTCATCTACTGTGACATGATCACATTACTTACTCTTTACTTCTAAAGAGTAAAGATTATCACTACGNTTCACAATTTTATTTATTTATTTATTTATTTTAATTTTTAGGAAATAAAATCTAATTTATCTACATAACCACTAGCAATCTTCTGGTTAATAAAAAAAAGGCA